TGAAAACTTTTAAATGAAGAATACATAGCATGGTCCATGGCAGCAGTCACTGGTAATGCATGTGAAAATATTTTTCCCCTTTTATCATGCTATATATAGCATTCATTATTATCTGTGGTTTTCAGTATCCGTGGGGGCCCATGGAACCGATCCACAGTGGATATGGGGGCCCTACTGTATTTTCTATGGGTTTGAAGGCTCTGCCTGTGGACCTGATTCTTCTGTTAATGAATACATATTCCAGATGAGGAAGATGTCTTGGAATTTTGTCTGAATTTGAATTCAAAAGGGCAGTTGAACTTTGCAATTCTACAAGCAACCACTGTATTTGAGCTATTGCCAAGGGCTTGGGTGCATGGTTTACAGCAGTTTGTTGTTATAACTGCTTATGTTATAATTGCTTATGTTGTCTGTTATATAACTGTAAATAAGAAGAGACTCATTTTGTGATTTTATATTTGCAAGATTCATCAACAGATATCTAAGTAAGCAAATAGCCCCATAGAACTTAACTCGCTTGGCAAATAATGGCAAGCACACTCTCAGATGTCTTCAGGGACCAATAAGTGCATAATCTGAATACTAATCTGAATATGGAACTTACAGTTTTTACAATGACTGACCTGTAAAATTTAAGCAATTGTCCATTACACTTGCTAGAGGTCATGGAGACTTTCTGAGCAATATTTTGAAAAAAAAGAAAAAATGGGGTTGTGATTGGCTGGGAGTTATTCTGCCTTTACTTGGTTTAAACCAGAACAGGAGATTGCTGCCAGCTGAAAAGACGTACAGTATCTGTATCCATGCTCCCCTTCCCTGCAGATCTTTCTACTTCTACCCAAAGAAGCAAATTAAATGACACCACAGGGGAGTCAGAGGTGTATGAGAAGATACGAGGGTGCTGACTGGCAAACTCAGCAGGAGCCATTTTGTTTTCTAATGGTCTAGTGAAAATTATCAGTTCCCATGTGCAGTGATGTTGTTCCTGTTGTGATAACAGCTTTCTCCAAATTACAAAAGGTACATTTGTTCTTCTGTCGAAGAAGGTGAACCAGGAGCAGGACAAAGAAAGAAGCAGTTTCCAAGGTGAATCTTTCTGTGCAGGAAAAGGGGGGGGGAAATGACTGTTGGATGCTCTCACATACTCTGAAAGGAATAAAATTAAACCCAAGAAGCATGCTAACAGATCAGATGTAATTGAGCAGCAATTGGTACGGACTCCCACAGACAGGAGAAATAGGAAATTTCCAAAAGTTCAAGAGAAAAAAAATCCCAGCACTGTTTCATCCTGTTTTGCAGTGGTGAGGTGAAAATTCTATAACATATCCTTTAAAAAGCAAAACATTGTGAGTGTTATAATAGCCACCCTTTCAGTTTAAATGTGATAGTGAGGAAGAAATCCTACATTGCCATGAAAGACTGAGGGACTTCCATTACAGGGGGAAAGGTCAGGTCAAACTAGAAGGAACTGGAAGTCCTGCAGGCCCTCTCTGGCTTCCACCGTCCAGTAGGGCAGTAATAATAAGCAGATGAGAGAGGCTAGAAGCTGGAGGGTATAGATGTGAAGCAAGTCAAATGCAAGGTGTAAGGCTGATGGTGGGCAACATCTCTATCTTGATCTGCTTGAGGGTTGTGAATGCCAAACAGGCCCGTGCTGTACATATCCAGACTTCACCACCACACTTCCCTTTGTCTTGTTCCTGTCACGGCTTCTTGGAAGGGGAAGGTGCCTGGAGCTTCCCATGCAATTACAGGAACCAAGCGGGGTGATGTCTCAGGATGGCTGACAGTTCGGCTCACGTGACAGGAATACCCACCTGGCCATCAAATGTCTGAATACTGTATTCCTTGCGCCTGAGGAAGCAGACTGTAGTTCATGAAAGACCATGCTAAATGTAAATCTGCTCGTTTTAAAATGAAATGCACGGCCTCTTTCCTTGGCTTTCATTTCCTTCCTTCCCCCTTCTTTTCTTTTCCTTGTTCCCTTCTGAAATAGACTAACAAAGCCAATTATTTGGAAATAACTAATCAGAACAAGGATGTTCTTTTTAGAATAGGAAATTAGTTCTTGTTGCTGTTGGAACGAAAGCACTGAAAAGATGGCAGCCTCTTATGATCAAAGGAAAATGGATCAAATGTGCCATCCACATGTGACATTTCCCATTCTAAAAAGAAAACTGGAATTGTTGTTCCAATAGCAATTCTTAAATAGGTAACTGTTAGTCGACAAGTATAGGAAAAAGGAAAGAAAAAAGTCCATCTGGATTTATTTTATCGTAAAAATATTTGTCGTGCTCAGATGTCATGGCAATTTTTAAAAAAATGATTAGATTTCTTTTTTACATATTAGAGGCTAATTTGTACTTTTTGGAGTGGTCAAGATAATCATATTTGATTAAACTGTCCTAATCCTGATGTTACTTTTAAACATCAACAACCTGCAGGGTTGGCCTTCATACAACTAAATAGCAGAGGGCATAACTGCACTTCAAAGAGTGGCATCACCAGTTGGACCCAGTGGCAGTGCAGTGTAAGCAGACAGCAAAGCATAGATAAGACAGTTTGTGAAACATACTGCCGCAAGATGTGGTTAATAGCAAATAATCAGAGCTTGGAAAAAAATTCCTTTTTGGACTATCCTGCCTCATATTCCCTCCAAGCCAGTATAGTTACTAGCAATGTTTTATTGGTGATTCTAAGATTTGTAGTCCAAAAGGTTAACTTTCCCAAATTCTGACTTTGTAAGAGACAAATCCACCCAAAGAACTGATAAAGCAAAAAACCCCGAGAAGATAGCTGTCAAAGGAACACACTCCTTAGGTAATTACCGTAGCATATAAGGCTGAATAAATGCTTAAAGCAGCATGCTTGGATGGAAAGGATCGCCTCGCCTTCTCAATCACATCCTGGTCACCAGTGCAGATGTTCCCATTGTTGACAAACTGGTGGTGAGTTCGGCAGTCACTCCCGGTGTAGTTGGGTTTACATACGGTCAAGAAATAGGGGGCCAAGTTCCCTGTTACTACCTGGCCTGCGTTTACAAATATGTCTGTGGCAAAAAGGCCAAATGCAAAGACTCCTGCAAAAAGAAGTTGAAAAAGAAGAAAGCCAGCATGAGTACAATGATTTGTTCAAAAATTAATACAGCCCCAACAACCACAACACATCAAAACATCCATGTCAATCTGTAGTTTCATAATGTTTATAAAACCAAGATTAGATTTGTTTCCTGGCAAAATGTTATAAAAGATATGAGTGGGGTGAGAGAGAAAGGTTAAGGACAAAATTCCTTGACTTGATGTTGAAGCTGCATGACAGCATGAAATGAAGAAGAAAGCAAGAGTAAACATAAAAATGAAGCTCTCTAGAAGGTGATCCAAACCTTAGGTATGGTGGGAGAAGAAGGGAGGGAGGGAGGGAGGGAGGAATTGTGGTCCTCCAAGTATGAAAACAGGAAATCCAGCTGTGAACTTGGGCCTGGCTTACATCTACAGAATCAGCTCAGAAGTGAGTACATGTATGCCAAATGTTTCCACTGAAACGGCTCTAGGATTCAGGATTCAGAGTTCCCAGCCAACCCAATGGTTTAAGAAAAGAAGCACACAAACACACCTACACCCCACACACAAAGAGGAAATGCTTAGGAACAAATGTTGACTGAAGTAAAGGCTGCAGAGATGCATCTCTGTACAGTCACCAAAAAGAAACATTTAGCCCCATAAGCACTCCATAAGTGCTTTTAACACCCATCCTGCGGGCAAGATTATCTGATCAGTTTACTGTAGCATGCAGAATGTGCTGGAGCCACACAATGGTGCTGAATGCCTCAAAGCAAGTTGGCCTCCTGTTCTTTGTTAATGGCACTTTAGTACCAGTCAATAGAACCCGAGAGGCTGTCTGAATTTCAAGGTTATTTTTAAAATAATTGTTTTTAATTAATGACGTTTGATCTTACATTTATTCATTGGTTCCCATGTTTCCTTTGTATGCCACGTTCCTTATAAAGTTCTCCTTTACGCTGCTTGCTCACAACAGGTCCCAACAATCACAACAGAGAATAACTGGCCCTAAGTTGTCCAGGGACTTTATGTTGTTGTTGTTTAGTCATTCAGTCCTGTCCGACTCTTTGTGACCCCATGGACCAGAGCACGCCAGGCCCTTCTGTCTTCCACTGCCTCCCGGAGTTGGGTCAAATTCATGTTGGTAGCTTCAATGACATTGTCCATGTTACATACAGCTATGACATCACCTGCCCATCACTGCTGAAGCTGTGTGTCATCTGCCAATGGCGTGACGGAGGGTGGGACATAAGGGGTGGAGCTGTTGTACATAAGGGGAGTGAATGGTGTGAGAGATTCAGATAGGGCCAGTTAGGGCTTAGAGATAGGGTTGAGATAGGAAGATAGGGCTTGGTGATACTGAGAGATAAGAACTGTGCTACATAGTGAGGGTTTGTGAGAGAGTGTGTGTGATTGTTATATTATTACAGTGATTGCTTTATTATTTATATTCAAGTGATTTACCATTCCTTTTGTTTGTACACAATAAACCTAAGTTTTTATTTTGAAATCATACTTTGGCCTGAAGCTTCA